GTTTACACAAAGTTTAAAGAAAATAACCCACCTTGGTGACTAGATTGTGGCTATCGGATTGACTAGCTTTACTAGCTATGGTAACAGAAGAGATACCTAGCTTTGAACGAGTCGTGGCATGACGTCTATTGGAATGTCCACCGGATAGAGAGTCACTTTTTCCTTTCTGACTTGATGTTGTAAGATTAAGTTCACGAATATGAGAAGTTGGAATCATGTTAAGACAGTCCATCTGTAAAACATGCTTTTGCTTTAGTCCCTGTTTGTGATTAGTCTCTTCATTGTCTTCTGTTTTATGTGAGTATTTACTGACCTCTTTTGAGGTCTGTTCAAATTGGTTAAGAATTTTATCCTCCTCAACTATGTGGTCAGTAAATGATTCTTTATGCTTCTGTTCATATTCATCATCTATGTTAGAGCTTCTTTGATCTTCTTTTGTATTTGATAAGCAGTTGAGTCGTAGTTCACAAGTGGTGCCAACAGGTTCAAGTGTTGGAGTAGGATCTGAAGTTGTCTCCGTTAAGCGATATTTTTCATCGGAGGTTAGGTCGGCGGATTCAGTCTCCTCGAGTGAGATGGATTCTGGATGCTGCAAAACGTCCATCTGGTGAGGAGAAGTTTGAAACAACTGTTGCTGATAGCCTTGTTGAGCATGAAGGAGAGAGACAGACGAATGATTGATAGCAGCAGTGGAAGCAGTGGGTGAAACTAGATCGTTATTGACCATGAAAACGGGATGGCCAAGTGTTTGCGAGTTATTCACGTGGTGTGTGTAGCGAAAAGGCGAATTTGCGCCTGAACTTAGAGAAGTTAGCCCCCGACTTCCAGGGCTGTCAGGGGCCTGGGTTGTCGAGGCGAGCGGTCGGGAAAGCCTAAGGCGTGATATTTGTCAAGTACAAACAAAAAAACAGAAAAAATAACAAAACTAGATAAAGAAAGACAAAATGAAAGCCACCATATAAAACAAATTAAAAGAAAGGTAGTGGAGGGTAGGATAAAAGCGTTTCAATAGCAAAGGAAAACGATAACAATAAATAGAATAAACTATTCAAGTGATAAATAAAAGTACAAGTTAATGAACAGATTATAAAGAAAAGAAATTAAACTAAAGAATGAGAGGTTTTTTGACCTTGTTTTTGCAACTTGGTCGGAGGGACAGCGTGAGACGTACATAGTATTGCATCCTCTGCCATAGTAATCCTGAAGATTACAAGCATCGGACCAATGACTGGGTACAATCCCAGAATCCTGCATCGTCAGTGAGGCGCAATCCATAGGACAGTTACAAGTAAAGGTAATCCCTTTGGCCAATTTTCAGCATCTATCTCCTTCCCTCTCCTAACTCCAAGCGCCGTATCCTCATCCCTTAACCCCATTTTAAATGGTAAGTTTAGCGATCTAGACCAGTATGCCTATATTTGTCATACTGTCGTCAGTTAAATCGAATGATTAACTTGATCAAAACCACTTATTTCACGTTCAACATCCACACATGTAAATAGATATTTGGTTTGGTCCATGGACAAATCACTCTCACCTTTGGCTGACTCTTACATTGACAAGTTGTGGGAGGATTTAAAAACGTCATATCAGCAGCAAAAACTAGTCATGCAATACATGATTAACTATTTCGCATTCTGGCCGCAGTAAAAGGAAAAATTTGACGAGTTCTTAATTTTTTTTAATGATATTGATGGAGGCAGAGAACAGACAATTACCATTCTTAGATGTAGAAGTTATTCGCTCCCAGATGACTCTTAAGAAGAGGTTGTTCAAATAGAAATCATACGCAAGAATAAATATAGTGAACATCGAAATGATTTAAGATGTAAGATGTAAGATGTAAGAAGTGATCAAACCTCGTTTTCGCAACTTGGTCGTGTTGTCAGGGTGACCTAGTTAAATTCACCTCTTTCGAAGTCCTATATAGTTATCATGTCCAACATTGAACTTGATACATTCTCAGACGCTTCGCCGACATTCGTCAGTGGATCTTGCCATTCTCAGCATCAAGCTACAATTCGTCAGAAACAAATGAAGTCAATCCATTGAACTACTTTCCGTGGAACGGTTGTGCTACCACTCCTCTTTTTGTCCTAGCACATCTACATACTTCCTACCCTCTTATCTCACTCCCGCCCTATTCAAACTTCTGACTTATTTACATTCGACTTTATAGGTGCTCTTCATTGGCGAGTTCGGTGTGAAGTTACCACGCCTGCTGTTTACCTTGCCCATCCTCCCTCTCGATTTGCTGATTCGACTTGGGCTTTCTATTCGGTAAGCAATAATTTTGCTTACCGTTCAGGCAAACTTGGATAAACTAAGATTTCATCAAAAAACGGCAAGAAGATGTTTGGATCAAGGAAACTAATGAAACAATAAGAATAAACATCACTAAGGGCATCTTAAGGGAAAAAAAAATGAAATTTCAATTAATCATCAACCGTAAGATTGGCTTCAAAAATTGGTTGAATAGAGTCCACCTAGGAATTTATAAATGAAGGATCATAAACGTCTGAGTAGCATGCTATTATGGATGCTAAGTTCAGACCTAAGATCTATTTCAAATCCACTAGGGCCTGACAGAGAAGACTGGGGAATTAATATCGGATGGCCCTCATGACACTGGTTGCATTTGTC